GTTAAAGAGGGTTTATGGTTAAAGGGTTTACTTAGTGAATTAGGACTTATAGAAAATCAGGTGGAGGTGTGTTTAGACAACCAAAGTACAATTTTTCTGAGTAAAAATCCTATTTTGCATGTTAGATCCAAGCATATAGATGTAAAGTTTCATTTTATTAGAGATATCATTGATAGGGGTGATATTAAATTGATCAAAATACCTACTAAGGTAAATACACCAGATGCCGGAACCAAGGTAATCCCTATTAGTAAGTTTGTTGATTCTTTAAGATTAATTAATCTTGAAGAAGACTGATTTTTATTGTTTTGGTTTTACAGGTAATAAGAGCAAATGAAATGGAAATAAGTTTTGAATCCACAAAAGAGCAGGCACAAAAGACCGCAAAGGTGGAGAATGTAGAAATTGGGTTGTTGTTCTTTGTGAAGGCCAAATTGAAATGTCCAACCCATGACCCGGTTTAATGGCCCAGAAGACAGAAGAATCTGGAAGCTGAAATTGAATTAAAACAAAACGCGTTTTTCTGTTGTGAAATAACAACTTTCACCGGATTTCGACATGTGGCGACTGCTGGACCATTAGATCAAACAATTAGCTTTTCCCATATAAAAGAAGCTGAAATGTCTAGGATTTGGGGCTTTTTCATTTTTTACACACAGCTTCTTTTGAGTTTAGAAATTCTCTCTGTAATTTTTAGTTCTCTCTTCTTAGATCTTGTCGATCTTCTATTGTTGGTTGAGAGAAAGTGTGATCTAATGAACTCTTGTGTGAGTTCATCGTGTTGTTGAGGGGATTTTTGTTGTTGCTATGGCTGGAACTGTGTGTTCTGTTTGTAACTCGAAGTACTGCTGTATTTTAGGCTGGTGATTTTAGTGGTTTCGAGCTTATTCCTTCATGGATGCTCAACGGGGACTAGGCAATCTAACCAATCGCTGAACCTCGGGGCTTCGGCCGAAAAATCGTTTGCATTCTTTACTGTTTCGTTCGGATCTACAAATCTTGATTTTAGCTTTGCGATTTTTCGATCTTTTCTAAACGTTCCTAGGTACCTACAGATTTGATTGTTGAGTGCCCTCAGTCCCTTGAATTTGATCGTAAGCAATAAGTGAGTTCAACTAGACAAATTACAAAATGTGAAAGAATATATTCGTGCAATATCACGAAAATTCCTATCTAATATTCAATTGACTGTCGAGCGCACTGTTGGGAATCTACTTATACATGCACAGCGAAAAATTAAAATTATTTCGATTCCCATCGAGAATCCCTTTGTGTTTAGATAGAAATCGTGATTAAGATTGTACCTTTGAAGAATTTTGCAAACTTTTTGCTTTTCTTTTCGTTCCAACAATCTTGATTCGCCACCCACAGTTGTCCAATTGTCCAACCTCCAAAGGTGATCCACACAGAGAATAAAATTGCAGCTACCAGAGTTTTCTCCTCTTGAGCTAACAAGAATAATTATGAGAAAAATCATATGGAATGAAAACCCTAGCCATGTATTTATATAAGCCCAAACGAGCCTGACCCAGTCCTGTCCAATATTTAATTAATCCATTTAATTAAATCCGGTTCGTGAATTTCGGGCCTATAAATAACCAATCCAATTAATTAATTTATCTAATGATTGTTAAATTAATTAATTGACAAATTTGCAATCTTCCAATTCTCTTTTATGTGCGACCCATCAGGTTCCAAATCACGATACCTAACGACATGAAATATTATTTTGATTTAATCAAAATCGATAAATTAAAACACCATTTTAATTTATCATCAATTCACACTTGTCGCCCCAGATTGACATCTAGCAATGTGTCGGGACAATACATGTAACGAAAAATGTCACGTGGTATGACAAAACAAAACTCGTTCGTTTACCGTGAAACTATAATTCCTTCGTCAATATGATCCGATCAATTACGAGATATGGAAGCGTGTCAGTCTCGATTAACGATCATATCTTTCACCCCACTATTAAGTCAATATAAGTCGAAAACTCCTTTTCGATTTATAAGTACACCTTGGCCAAGGATTTCATCATCGACTTAATTGAATGAAACGCAGATCATAATCTCCTACTAACTAAGAGTGACGAATCCTTTATTAATCAATCACAACCTTCATGCGATTCTTGACGTACCCGAACGATGTCGTATTAGCGGCCCTTTGTAGAGCAACATCCAACACTGCCAAAGTATGACTGTCCTCATATAAGGTACCATGACGACCTCAAGTTAAAGGATCAATTCCACTACCGAACGTTAGAGATTAACCACTGACACTCAAATAGTTATCAATGTGGAATCTCTCGGGGGGTCTCCAATATTTTGTTCTATAACAAAACATCCACATGTTCATTTAAGTGTCACCACACTTTAACTTATGAGATCAGCTACTTACTTCATAAGTAAGAAATGACACACGTGATGGTCTATCTGTAATAACGATATTCGTATCTCGGCATTACTTACGATCACGAACGATTTAAGATTCAATCAGATGTGATTTGTATCTCACAATCACAACTCCTTGTGATTAACAAATTACGAAGATTTGAATCTACGGACTCTATTATTTATTTGATTATTTATTAATTAAATAATAGATTTGCCATTAAATTGCATTAATTATATATTAAAAATATTTATGTCAAAAGTCGATTGGATTTAGGGCATAATACTTACACGCACTTGGTCCATTAGAATTTGACCGTGAACACTAAGAAAAATCCTAATTAGAAGTTAATGTAGAGAATTTCAGCGTATAAAATGAAGATAACTACAACGAAGTGATATTGGACCAATTTTTTCCACGTCATCAACCTTTTCTCCTATTCTCCAGCGCACTAACTTGTGACATATTCTTTAGATGACGAAGGTCAAATTAGGAAAAACATTTAATCCTAATGGGATGCTTCTCCACTATAAAATTTTAAATATAATTTTGTCATTTTTCCTAAGTTGGACCAGTTTTTTCAGGAAACTTCGTTGTCTTCACAACAACGCACTAGTAACATGTATATTTGTATAGTTGATGGAGAATTAGAAAACGTACTTCATCCTCTAGAATGCATCTCCCGTGTAAACTCTATTTAAATTATAGTATACAATATGTTTTTATTAAAAACACATAAACATAGTAAAGATTTTCGAGAGGCTCAATCTAATCTTGACAGAAATGTGCAAGATAACAACTTATTCTGTCTCAACACAATAATCAACTCATTAAATAACAAATTAATTAAAGTCTCATCAACGTATATTGAACTTTTATGACAGGCTACGAAGAAAGTTTTTACTATTTTTTTTTTTTTTTGCCCTTTTAGAATCGGATAAACCGTTTTTAGATGAATGTTCAAATCGATTTTTAAAATATTAATATTTACATAATTTTATCCGCTAAAATTGGTTTTAACATTTAATCATTTGAAAAAGAAAATTTATTTTATATATAATAATATGCATGTCTAATGTATGTTTTGGAAAGAGGGAAAATTGCATTTTACCTTGTCGACTAGTCTTTGGGACCACCAAGGCAATTATAGTTTGACTATTGTGTTAGAACTTTGCTACATGAATATAATGGGCTACATCTGAGGCTACATAATGGACACGCGGCACCTCGACATTGATCGAGGCGCCTGCCGCACCTAGGGCCCATAGGCGCCTCGCCAACCGCGAGACGCTGAGTGTCCATTATGTAGTCCTTTTGTAGTCTATTATGGTCATCTAGTATTTTGCATTGTGTTAATGTATGTTTCAAAGAGAAGGAATATTGTGTTAAATAATCTGTACGAGGCGTTAAGTGTCCATTATGTAGCCCCTTTTGTAGCCCATTATGATCCTCTAGCATTTTCTATTGTCTTAATGTATGTTTCAAAGAGAAGGAATATTGTATTAAATAATCTGTGACCATTGAGTCATCTTAATTCAACAAATGACCTTTCACTTTTTTCGAGGCAACATCCGTGCCCAATGTATGTTGCGGAAAGAAGGTAAATTGCATTAAATCCTACCTAATAATCTTTATGATTTCTGAACAATTGTAGTCCGATCATTAATCTTTTACCTTTTTTGATACAATATTCGGGTCTAATTAATTTATAATATATTAAATATCACATTAATTGAAAATTATTTTTAGACGATTTTAATCATATTTATTTGTTTTCGATATGCAATAAATACTACAAAATCATTATCATGTATGAATTATGTGTTATTAATTTTCAATTAATTAATATTCACATTAATCTAGATTCAATAGTATTAATTTGATAATTTTGATCTACTTGAATCTTATGATTGAATTTATTTTTATTCATGTATTCAGGAATTTTAATGGGTGTTTAAATTCATATATTATCAATTAATTTTTATGTACCAAATGTAGCATACAAGTGTTGCTCATTTGTAGTTTTCATTATCACAAAAAGTTTTAGGGCTTGTTTGGGAGTGATTTTTCCTTTTAAAAATTGATTTTTTGACCGTTATTTCATTAATACAGTCGTCATATTTGATTTCTTCTCTTATAGGTGAACCCCACTTTTCTCGTAACGATCAAAAAATCAATTCTCAAAATCACTCCCAAACATGCTCTAATCATAGAAAATTAAGTTTTGAACTATGTTCTTCTCTTAAATTTCTATTCTAAATTTTATTTTATTTTTAGATTGTTTGAGGCTTATGAAATCCTTCCAACAAATTGATATCAAACATGACTTTTACAACATTTATAAAATATTTTCAAATAACGTTCAATGCATTTTAATCTAACAAAGTTTCTAAAAGAGAGAAAATTACTTTAGGCCTCGTTGAATAATCTCTGGGACCTCAAAACCAACTGTGATTCGATTCTATCATTGACATTCTATCTTTCCGGACGCAAAATCAGTATCAATTTATATTCAATAATATAAGGCAAATTGCATAAAACCCGTCGTTATCCCATCCCAGTCGAACAATGTCCATGTCTCATTTCCGTCCGACGATCATTGGTAAACACATCTGTACCGTCCAATGCTACCCATAGAATGATCTTCACCGACTTTGCCCTTTCCATTATTAAAAATAAAAATAAAAATAAAATGTAGAAAATTCTAAAGCGAAGGTTATTTTACGGATAAGCATGATTGCTCTTTTTCTATTCGAATAGCATCCGAAGTGTCAACAAACAAATTCTGCAGCATTGGAACGAACAGCCGGAGAAACCAAATTGGAAGAATTAGAGATTGAAAATGTCCAGCGTGGGTCAAGAGGAAGATAAGAAACCGGCCGATTCTCCGGCGCACATTAATGTTAAAGTAAAAGGCCAGGTCGCACTTTTTTTCTGTTTTTATGCGTTTTTATTGTCCATGTTTATTTGGTTCTTATGTTTTGATTTTTTCTAGGATTTTAGATTAATGGTTATTTATTTATCTATTTTTAGGGTTTTATCACTTTATGTTGTGTTTATGCTGAATAACTGGTTTTAATCTATTTTTAGGGTTTAAATTTGTGTTTCTGCTCTACAGAATTTATTCATTCATAATTTCCTTTCCTATTAATAGTTTTCATTAGGCAGAAACTTAACTACAATAGGCAAGGGATGTCGAGAGGGGGAAAATATTATCTTTATTTTATTAATTATTTAAACAATTTTTTAAAAATTAATGGCAGCAACTTAATTTAAAAGTTTTTGTGTAACAATTTTAAAGGGGTGTGAAGGTGGAAAATGATTTTATGGAGTTTGAGGCATATGATAGAGAAATTCATAGAGAAGAAACACTAGAGGTATATAAGTAGTAGCAGAAAAATGAGAGAAAAAATTCTACCCTTATTTGAGCCACATTATTTTTATAAGAATACATTTTTGAATAGTGTATTGAATGAAAAATGTGTGGTTAAAAAATAAGGAAATTTTTTGAATTTACATGTAATATTATTTAAAATAACGTGTGATTGAAATGATGTTAAATCATTGTTTAAAAATATTTTTTGGAAGAATGTAGGTCAAAAAAGTTTTAATCATATATGTATTGGTTAACCCACAAGTCAATCTTACGCAAACATTTATGAAATTGTAATTTTTCATTAGTTGGATCAGGGTTGCAGTCCCCCCACAAATTGGAGGAGGATGAAATATCCCCATGCTTTTCATCAACCTATGTGTTGACCTCAAAAAATATACCTCCAGTGTGGCCAATAAATTCCAAGACCTCTCATGTCCAAGTAAGCCATATTGTTGCACATTAGGACAAATCGTTAGTCACACGTGCCCTTCTCTAGTAGGAGTGGAGTCGGTCACGTGCACTCCGACGGTCAAGTTAGTTTTGTGAAGATATATATGAGTGTGAGGGTTTTTGACGTGAGTCTCCAATATAAAAAAAGCGGTCAGTATTTTGAGTAAAGAATGCAAAGAGCGAAGTTATAGTATCAAAGTCTAAATTTGCATTACCTTTGGAATGACACCAAGTGTGAGCTTTTATAGTATAAAAGGGTGAGTAAGAGCCGTTGGATGAAGAGACACGTGGCCTCATTTTGGCGACTAGAGCCTCTTGTCATAGGTATCAATCGGTCAGATTTAGGCTCAAGTACATTTAATGTAATGACCATTTGCAGTCCTAGGCCTGACGTGTAAGACTAGACTTGACTTGACTTACTGATTGAGTTAAGTCGTCTATGCAGTGAGTTGTCATATCACCCATTTGTTACAAGATCTTGTATGAAGATTTTCCCTAAGACGCTTATACCTTCCTCTCTTCATTCATGAAAGCTTGGCTCCCCATTGGGATTCGGCCAATAGTGGTCGACCATGGGGGCTCATCCATTAGCAGGAGCGGACGCAGACATTTTATGTTAGGGGGTCACAATCAAACTTTTAAAAAAAGTGACAAATTTTTTTTATTATTTTATATGGGTTATAAACTATTATACTCTAATTTTTCATCTTTATTATTTTTACATATAAAAAATTTATATATAAAAAAAAATTTGATCATTTTTAGGATTTTTTTTATTATTGTTACTTTTTACTCTCAATCAATTATTATTTTAAAATAATCTAATAAATTTCCTAATAAATTTTTTTACGTCATTTGAAAAAAATTTAATTGATCGAGAGAAAAGGTAACAATAATAAAAAAAATCCTAAAAATAATTGAATTTTTTTGTATATAAATTTTTTCAAATATAAAAATAATTAAGATGAAAAAGTAGTATAACAATTTATAACCCCTATAAAGTAATTAAAATTTTATTAAGAATTTTTACGTACAAGAAAAATAAATTTGACGTCATACCACATATAAAATTTCCTAATAAAATGATGTAAATTATATTAAGAAATTTGTCGCGCAAAAATAATGAATATTAATAAAATAATTGATTTTTTTTTTCAAAAAAAAGAGTTATAAGTCTCTTTTTTTTATACAGGTTTGACGTACGTTTAATTATTTTTGATATTCATTTAAATCATTCGATATGTTTATGATATAGTTTTTGAAATGAGTTTCGAAATAATATAGAAGATTTATGGATACGGCTAGCGTATAATCGTTGAAGAATTTTTAATATTAGCTTGTTATCGAAATATTAGTTTGGAATAGCCTACTTTGACGCATCGTAGCATTTGTTATGATTGGCTATTTCGTACACCATTAACGATTTGAAATACTAAGCCATGGGTACTTCAAAGTAATATTAAGAGTATAATATTTCAACTTCGTTTAATATTTCATAGTAGGCCTGAAAACTAAGACAAAAAAAAAATAAAAAAATAAAAAAATAATAATAATAAAATAAAAACTGAAAAAACTGGAGGGTCAAGTGACCCTATGGGACCCCCCTTAGGTCCATCCCTGTCCATTGAGGCTCGGCCATGGGACCTCTACCAAATTACTACGTGTGTAAAATGATGTGGAGTGCGAGTCTAAGTTCTCTTGTTGTGCAACTGTCATTTGGCAATGCATTAGAGCCTCATTGGAAGAGGCGTAACACTATGTATCGTAAGATTTATCGATAAGCTAGCTTATTTTGAGTTTTGATGATGCTGATACTGTTTGATGCATAACTGTAAACTCGAAGAGTCTTGTGGTCCGTGTGTTCATCATTTGAGCTGTTTGGATTCATTTTGTGGTGATGCATAAGACATGCTATATTCGTGATGATCTCGACAAGTTTTGAATTGCTTTGATGAGTAATTTAGTTTTTTGTGAAGATTAGGATGAATATCTGTGTTCTCAGTTGTAGATTCGATTATATTTCCTTATATGAGTGCTGAAGGTGTATGTTTTTTCTTTTACAAGTGCTTAATATAGGAAGGGAATGAGGTTTTTTTTAGGATTAAGAAAACCTCACAATTAAAGAAGCTCATGGAAACTTACTGTGATCGTCAATCTGTGGATGTCAACGCAATTGCATTCTTATTTGATGGTCGTCGCCTCCGACCAGAGCAAACTCCAGACGAGGTCTTTTTTCTTTTCCTCTCCTGTCTCTTGCTTGCCCTATGATCTGGGAAATAATGACTCCTGAATTTTTTCTTTACAGCTCGAAATGGAGGATGGAGACGAGATTGATGCAATGCTGCACCAGACCGGAGGTGCTGCACAATTAGATTAGAATGAATGCTTTTGGTGTATGGGACTTGTAACAAAAGTTTCTGTTAATTTTGGGAAGGAACGCTTATGGGATAATAATGTGAAACTTCTAAGAAAATTATATGAATAAGCTTCAAAATTTGAGTACATTTTATTGCTTATATTTTGCTACTTTCATGTTTTACTCTGCCGTGTGCCTCTTCTAAAATTTACTTGAGATTTCTTGACCAGCTCTTGAGATCTCGAGTGGTGCTGCACAAACACCTCTCGAGTTATTCTTAAGCTCGACTAAGGTCTAAGAATGTGAAGCGGTAGTGCAGGCTATTTTCATGAGAATGTAATATGCTGCATTTTGACATCATGGGTTACTTAAGGCTAGAAAAAGAAGAAGATTATATACTAACGTCTCAGGAAGTGTAATTCGAACCATCCCACGGATGTAAAAGCATAGTAACATGAAGTAAAAAAATAACATGATAATATTTATTTGGATCTAATATTATTTGTAAGTTCTATATTTTAACGTGATGTCTCACAAGTCGTCATATTAGAATAATATACAAACTTCATCCCTGACCCTATTTGGCCTAGTCCAATACAGCGTTCCGAAAAAATGTGTTCTAAAACAAGTTAAACAACACAAAAAATTGTAAAAGTAACACCGAAATAGGCTGCTAATGTATTCAAATCTAGGTACTCGTTTGGTAGAGATTTTGATAATTGATTTTTTACCGTTAGATATAAAGTAGATCTTATTTGTGAAAGAAGAATTCAAAAATGATTGTTGAAATAGTGAAATAAAGGTAAAAAAATAGATTTTAACTGGCTTAAAAATTGTACCAAACAAGCACTAGTTTGGAGATTATGTGGATCTTTTTGTTATTGTCCAATTCTTGGAGGTTTCTGTTAAAAAAAAGTAAATTACATTTTTATTTCTATTTTGTAATTTTTTTTATTTAAATTAGTGAATGGTGAAATTGTCTTTTTACATGAAAAGTTGCGGTTGCTAAAAAAATTTGAGTAAATTACTAATATTTCAGAAAGACTGGGGACAAAAATTGCAAAAAAACCATAAATATCTTTAGAACTTTAACGAAAATTATCCCAAACATGTTCGAAAGTCCCTAGAATTTTTTTTAAGTAACTTTGTTTTTGTTTTAAAGCTCAGCCTCAAGAATAAATAAATCAAATAGGTATTATATCTGAATTTCTTTGTCTCCGTTCGTGGTATTGCAAGGCTAAACTGCAGCTTTGGAAAGATTAATCGCGAAATCAAAGGCAGATCGGAGAATGTCTAGCGCCGGTCAAGATGAAGACAAGAAGCCCGGCGATTCTTCGTCGCACATCAATGTCAAAGTCAAGGGCCAGGTCTGGATCTTTCTTAAACTTTTTCATTTTTTATGTTTTATCTTAGTTTGTTTAATTAACAACGCTTACGTGTTTGTCATAGTGTTTTTCTTTTTTTGATTGTGTTCTAGGGTTTTAGATTATCCATTTTAGGGTTTTGCGTTGTGTCTTTGTGGTACACTATTTATTTTTTGGGGATTTTTTGATTTATTGCTCAACTATAAAGAAATTAGTCTACTGAGGACAAATGATGATGTGGAAAAAGTAAAGAAGTTTTCGTTTTGAATTTCCATTTTTTGGTAAAACGCATACTGTAAAAGTTCATAAACCAAGATGCTGTTTCTCAAGCTTTTCTCATACTTTGGCATTTTGGGAAGACACCGAAGGTGAGAAATGAGTTTATGTTCTATGAAGCACATAGACTCCTACTAGGGTGGCGGCCACCCAAAATTCTAAATACACTCTTAAGCCATATTTGACACGCAATGTGGCGTGTTCTATTTTTTGAAAGATAGTCACTCATCTGGATTGAAAGATTTTTACCCACAAAACTCAAAACTAAAAGAAGAATATATGTTATTACAAATTAAAAAAGTACAAAATTAACGGCATGAGATATAAATGTTCAATTTTGAAGAGTTAAAGTTAATGCGTCCGTGTCCTACTTTTGTTGAAAATAATTTGTCCGCTTGTTCAGTTCGTGTGTCCATATTGTGCATCGTGTCTGTGGTTATTAGATAAAGTTCAATAAAGTTTGACATGCTTTATGTACATCGAGAAGAGATACTAGAAAACTTAAGAAAGTGGGGCAAAAAGACTAAGCCCATGTTTTGTATTACTAAAAATCAGATTTTTAGTATATTTTTGTAAAAGTTATGAAATGTCAAATGTGTGATGTAGGACTTTTCCCTCTCCAACTGGACTAGAATAAAGGAGGGCTGAAATCCAAACCAAATGTGGGTTAAATCATTTATGCGTTCCTTAACTTTCATTGAGTTGACCCTATTTTTCCATTGGCTATCAAATTATGATTTGTTTTGGTAACATGGGCGCATAACCATGAACTTGTCATGGTTGAGTTAAGTTCAAGTTCACTTTGTATTTTTTTTAAAGTTAGATGGAGGAAATTTGAGATATCTTACTCTCCAATGAAACTAATTTTCAAGTCATCAAGCACTGTTTCCTTATGTTTTGTCCTTTGATATCTCGATGCTGCTGTTACTGTTTGTCCAACAAACTTTTACTTGAATAGTTTCGTGGTTAGTGTTATTGTATTCAAGTTGTTCGAATTCCTTTTCTGGTGCTGGATACACCCTGCATTCTTAGTGATGATTTTACTACTATAAAGATGCTCTAAATTTTGCTAAAATAAGTCAATTAAATTTTTGTTAGATAGTCTTTTGATTATTGTATTTATTATTCAAGTTGTTTGAATTCTTTTTTCTGGTGCTGGATAAGTCTTGCATTCTTAGTGACGATCTTACAAGTTTAAACATATAGGTCATTTAGTTTTTCATGAGGAAATGAATATCTGTACTTTTAGCAGTAGACATGTTAATATTACTTTAAACACGTGCTCTTTATATAGGATGGGAATGAAGTCTTCTTTAGGATCAAGAAAGGCTCCCAACTGAAGAAGCTCATGACTACTTATTGTGATCGGCAATCAGTGGATTTGAACGCAATTGCATTTCTGTTTGATGGCCGCCGTCTCCGAGCAGAACAAACTCCTGACGAGGTCTTCTCTCCATTTCCTCATGTATCTTGCGCTCTATAATCTATGAAAGAAGGTTTAACTTCTGAATTTATTCTTTACAGCTGGAAATGGAGGATGGCGATGAGATTGATGCTATGCTTCACCAGACTGGAGGCTCTGCTGCTGTTCAGTTAGTTAGTTAGTTAGTGATGAATGTTAGGCCATGTTGAATTGTTATATTTAAGTTTCCCGAAGTTTCTGTTTTATCACTAGTCTGTTGGTCTTGAGGATCCTACTTTCTGTTGTTTCTGTGTGTCCGAACTTGTCATTAATGTTTTGTGTTGGCTTCAATAGATTATTGACAAATTTGAACAATGCTTAATCACCCAGCAAAGTTATGTCATCAGTGCTACATTCTACTAGGGTTGTCTTATGTTGTTAACCCCGATGGAACATTTTTGTAGGCTAGAACTCAATTAGTATTGTTGTATGAGACTCAAGGAATCCTTTTTGCGATTGAGAAGCCGTTCTTTGGAATGTTCGGGTGGTTTACTCTGGTGAGTTAAAGTTGTTGACGTCAACTACTCTCAATGTGCCATAGTGTTATTAAAAAAAATTAAAAAAAAAACACGTCAAATTGAATCAAAAGAGTGGTTTTGAAGCTGTTGGTTTGATTTCATGTGGTTTAGTTTTGGTAGTTAAAAATTGCTTGAAATGAAAGTCGAGTCGTTTATCTAATACTTGTTTCAATATAACAAGATCCTTCAATTTAAGTGTTGTACTGAAATTATGGATCAATATATTAATTTTTTAATTTTTTGAATTATGTTATTTTTATGTAGGTAAAACAGTGATTTGATAATTAAAAAATCATCCAAGTTGAACCATGTTTAGTAGAGCCACGGGAGTTATCCAGCATAAAGTTTAAATTTCTATTTATTTCGTAGACAATAAATTGGACAGCCAGGCTGATTAGGTGCTCTAATTTCGCATACCAAACTAATAATTAGTATTCTAATCTATTTGATTAAGATGAGATTTTCTGAATTTTTATGTTGTAATACCTATACTCGTATCCACCATCATGTTCGTGTGCCTTTTTTAACAATTTAGGGTTATTATACTTATGATGAGAGATGTGGTGAATTGGTAATCCATGTCATCATCAGATACTATACCGACGATAATCAGGTTTTATCGAGTTATGTCTAACTTACGCACCTTCAAGATTACTCATAAACAATGTTCAAGTATATGGTCCAACTTTTTTCCCATTAAAGACTGAGCTGAACCGCTAGCAATACAACGATAGGAGAACTCGGATCTAGTGCATAAAAAGTCAACACAAAACTGAGTTGCTAAATGTTAGCACAAGACGTTAAAAGCGGAGAGTTCGACAGTACCGTACTGCACACTATCCTAAGACTTTATGCTACTAAGAATTTAAGGTGTTGCTCCCAGTATTAAATTTGTTACTCCCCGTATGAAGTTACCTATTAGAAGCAATACGTGGAAGCTTCATTGACGTTATCAGAAAAATTAGCCCAAACATATAAAAAGACGAAGCAACGAGATTACGAAGACTACAGAAGCCGAAATCCTTGTTTTGGCCAAGGTGCCACTCAACCAGATACTTGTCGAAACCTTGACGAAGGGTTATGCCAAAGTCCTCATGTTCATGACCTGCCAAGGTTTTGAAAGACGAGGCTGAAGTTCTAAAAGATGAGAAGGCTGTTACATCTGTCAACCTGAAAGACAATGCTGAAGTTCTAAGAGAGGAGGAGGCTGCCACATTTGCCAACCTGACGAATATCTTTGTGAAAGACTCATTAGACGTCTACTTTATCTTATGTCAGGAATATTAGCCTGAAAATATAGGGCAGTTGATCGTTTGTTAATGTAATAAATACATGTATAAGAAGAATGTAATGTGTAGAAGAAAGAGGCAGGGGCACGTGGTTCAGATCCAACGGCTACCACGTCTTCCCCAAGCTCTATATATACCCTTCTCTTGGAAAAGAGAAAGAGAGAGATGTGTGGAACAAAAGAAACAACATATATGTAGAAAGAGAAAAGGGGGAGAAAAACCGAGAAAAAGAATAAGGAACGGGTACATTAATTTTTGGCACATTTTGGAGGAGAAAATAAATACTACTCCATACATTTCAAGCCATTGGATATCTTATTCGTTTCCTTCTCTTTCTATCCGCCTGTGACTGTTCCGAGTATGTTAGGTGAAATTATGTTTGCGCATCTTAAAGTTTTTCGATCACTTTAGTCAGCGTCCGAACTATTTAGTCGTACACCGAAGGCATATCCTTAGCGTTTAGTTTGATCGCCTAATTGAGCAAGCAATCTTAATGCACTGAAATTTTCCCACATGGACGCGTGTTGACCCGACATTTGTTGGCACCATTTTTGAGTGTCAACATAAGATGTCTAACAAACATGATAGTATGGTGCTTACAAGAATTGTAAGAGAAGTGACAACCTATTTATTTAATGGTTATGGCAAATGTCATGAAGATTTACTAAAGAAAATTACTCATTTATTATCTCATGCATCCAGAGTCATGGTAAAGTACTCAAATTCACACGCTTTACATGTATATAAAGGGAAGAGAGAGCCACACGAAATAAATATCACGAACAATGGGAGAGAAAATGAAATGTCTTCCACATTTGATAAATCTATTTTCCCTCTTCACTTGCCTTCCTTTATCTCAATCTTTCAACTATGGAGAAACTCTTTCCAAGAGCCCGCTGTGAATGGTTGCTCAAAACCAACAATAAAAATAAAAATAAATAAATAAATAAATAAAAATTGGTCCATGCGACTGCATGGCGCATGGCCATATGTTGAGACCAAATGGTCTCGGCATGGGTGAACCATGCAACCGCATGGTCGACCCTTTTTTGACCGTTGTAAATTTAAAATTGGTGACTTTTCACTTGATTTTTTGACACCATTTCGTACTTCTAGTCGATGGCTATATATAGGAGATCCATGTTTGAGGGAATGATGTTAGAAAAATATCTTGCAAACCATACTTTGTTTTAAAAACAATCAAATCCCTGTTTACATTCATATCTTCCGTGTTCTTCAAATTTTGGAGAATTTCACCTTGTGCTTTGGTGAAATTCTTTACAAGACTTGTTACAATCCTTCAAACCATCTGTCGGAATACCTTTAAGCATCTCGAAAATATTGGGGAAAGGGCAAATAACGTTTGAGGACAGCGATCCCGCGTTCAAACCTTCGAATTTGTTCTTGGCAATTTTCTGATTTCATTTCATCTTGTTGCCATACTTCTCTTATCGATTCTTCATCACTTCTATATTTCCAACAATTTCAAACATTATTTCTGTGATGGAACAAACTACACTAGATGGAAAGATAAATTGAAGTTTCTTCTCACTGCATTGAAGATCTTCTACATCCTAAATTCGAATCTTGCACCACTACCGGAACCAACGAATAGAGAAACCGAAGCAGTGAGAAATGAAAGACAAAAGCGTCAAGAAGATGAGTTAATATGCCGCGGTCACATTATCAACGCGCTATCGGGTCATTTGTATGACTTACATACAAATACAACTTCGACAAAGGAAACTTGGGATGCGTTCGAAAGTAAGTACAAGGCGGAAGAAGAAAGTACAAAGAAATTTTTAATTTCTAAGTACTTTGATTTTAAATTCTTAGAGAATATTCCTCTTCTTCTCCAAATATATGAAATGCAAGTAATTGTCAATAAGTTGAAGGCGGTAAAAATTGAAATACCGGAAACCTTTCAAGTGAGGATTACAATTGCCAAACTTCCTGGAACTCGAAAAGGATACCGAAAGAAAATAATGCATAGTTCTGAAGATTATTCTTTGGAACAATTGTAAAAATATCTTCGGATTGAGGAATAGTCGAGAATGCGTGATAAAAATGATTCTCATGAGGGCACTTCCAAAGCAAATGCTGTAGAAAAATTTGAACCAACAACAAAATCCAACAAAAGGAAGCCTTCCAGGAACCTTAATAAGTTCAAGAAAAAGACCAAAGACGGATGCTTTGTTTGTGGGAAAACTGAAAAATTACGCAAAAGATTGTAGACATCGGAAACACAACAACTCCGAGAGTAAAGTGAATTCCATCCAAGAAGACAAGATTGTGACCACCGTAAGTGAAATAAATGCAATTAAGGAAAAAGTTCCCAGCTGGTGGTATGATACTTGTGCCTTGGTGCATGTATCATATGACAAGTCTTTGTTTAAAACATACAATGAAGTAAATGGAGACCAAGAGATTCAAATGGGTAACGAGGTGTGGTCCAAAGTAATTAGAAAAGAAAGCATAGAAATTATCTTCACTTCAAGGAAAAATGTTACTCTCACAAATGTACTACATGTTTCAGAAATGAATAGGAACTTAGTAAGTGGAAATCTTTTGGAAAAATCGGGCATTAAAAGTGTCTTTGAGTCTAGTAAACTTGTATTATCACTTAACGGAAAATTTGTTGGAAAAGGACTATTCATGTGAAGGAATGGTCAAATTTTGTACTATTGACAATGAAATAAATAAAGTTGATTTTGCTTACATGAGTGATTTATTTTCTTTATAGCATGCTAGATTAGATCACATAGGTAAAGTACTATGAAACGCATGAGAAATTGTGACTTAATTTCATATGATGGAAATAATGCATTAAATGCAAAACATGTGTAGAATAAAAAATGATTAAAGAACCTTATCAAAGTATTAAGAGGATTTCTAGCATATTAGAATTAATTCATTCTGACATATATGAATTGAATGGCATGCTAACAAAAGGTGGAAACAGATACTTCATAATATTTATTGATGATTGCTCAAGATATATTTTTGTTTATTTGATGAAACATAAACATGAGGCATTTGATTTATTTAAGACTTATAATAATGAAATTGAAAATCACTTAAATAAGAAAATAAAGACCCTAAGAAGTGATGAGGTGGTGAGTAATTTTTTAGTAAATTTAATTTATATTATGAACAACATGACATAATTCACCAATGTTTTGCACCTAGGACACCCGAACAAAACGGTTTGGTTGAAAGAAAAAATAGAACCTTAGTGTAAATGATTAATGTCATGTTTATATATGCTAAGTTACCGTTTAATTTATGGGGTGAAGCTTTATTAAGTACATGTAGGATACTTGATAGGATTCCTTCTAAACATACAAATGTTTCTTCTTATGAATTGTGGAAATGAAGAAAATCGAACATTGGATACTTCAATGTGATTATTGAATCAAGTGATGTAGAGTTCTTTAAAGATTCGTTATCTTCGGATAATGAATTGAGTGATAATCTTGAAAATATCCCTAGCTCAAATGGAACACATGATGAAATGTCTTCCAAAGATATTGATGAATCTAGTGAACCACAAAA